TATATATATATATATATATATGTTATATAACTATGCTGTTTAACATATGTAATACCAGTGGTTTACAGCACCGGCATTTGTCACGTCGATTTTACGCTGGTCAAACGTAGGTCACTAGCGATGCCTAATCCGATTTTAGATTGTCATGTAAAGTTTACAATGAAGTCTCGGAAATCGTGAAAATCCACAGCAACGATCGTAGAAGAAGCGCAGTGACCTTTTTTCCTTCTTCATTAATTATCCGCGCGCTCACCTCTGGCAGCGGCGGATTGGATATGATCGTGCCGGTCGCTTTTTGCAGAGCCTTGATCTGCAGGAGCGCCCGGAAGGGCGCGCGACAGATCGGGCAGTTGTTCGCCTGGTATCTCAGGGAATCGGCGCATCCGTTGCACAGACACAGATGCCTGCACGGCAGGATCAACGTGTCGCGCACGTCGCACATGCAAATCACGCATTCGGAACCGTTGTCCTCGGTGTCCTCGTCGCTACCTTGTTGCTGCGCAAGGACAACAGGAAGAAGGTGAGATTCAAGACGGAAGAGAAAGCGCCAAGAGGAGGGAGAGGCGTCCCAATATGCAAGCTATTTCCTTGTACCTTTGCGTTCTCCGTATTCTTATTTTCGATCCCGTATATCTCCTGTAACAAGTAACAGAGCCCGTCGACGTAGAGTTTCTGCTTAAGGGCCTTCAGCACGTACGTCCCGTCGGAATGTTTCTCGACCACGGCGATCGTCGTGTGGGATTGCTTGGGATCGTCCGAACCTTCCTCCGCCACACAGTGTATAGCTATTGGGATGATCTACAAGTCGAGGGAGGGGGGCGGGCTTGATCAGTCCAGGAAATATACCAGCCTTATCGCGAACAATGTACGTAGTGCAAATACCTCTCTGTCCGCGTTATACATCAAGTCCTCCTCGCTGTACAACGTTGGGTCAAATATATGCGTCGATTGCGAGAACAACTGATTCGCTCCTTTCTTGTAATAATACGTCTCGGAATTCATGGATGGATCTCGCGGTATGTAACTAGACACAAGAAAATACTTCGGTTTTACGCCCTGTGCGCGGCTCGGTATACAGATCGGTCTTAACAACTTCTTTTAATTTACATACGCGACTCCTTTCGTCGAGATTTCCTCCGTGCAAAAGTAATATATCGTTATCGCGCACCTCACGTCGCAGTCAAATACAAATTCGATATTAAAACGATTCGGTTTCTTGTCGATGTCGATGTCCTCGTAATGCTTGCCGTTGTGGTACTGCGAGGACGTGGACATGTGGTCCATGTTGCGAACCAACCTCAAGGATTCCTTTCGTATGTTTACCAAACTCTTCAATGTTTTCGTCGGATCGTTGGGTTGCGGCGGGGGATACGGGAACTGCGATTAGAATGGAATATGATCGTTAAAATACCTTGCTGATACAAGCGATGAGGTGAGACGCGAAGACGTCAATGAAAGAGATCGGAGACTGAATTTTCCTCAGTGAAAACTTGGCTCGATAAAGGACAACTTTGTATTCCACGTACAGGTGTCGGACGACTGCCCAAGAAATTCAAGTCTGCGTTCTCCCCAAAAAGATAGGCTTCAGGCTGAGGTGTGTCAAACCGCTCACCGCCCATTATAAAATGGCTACCAAAATAAGAACCTGTCAGGAATAATTCTGCGTATTAATAAGGCGGTAATGCTCCGAGAGATCACGAGCCAAGGACAAATTTAGATATTTTAGATACTGGTTGTAGACATTATCAGATGTTACAGATCGTTCGATATCTTGTGCTGATGTTCGCGGTGTAAAAATAACAATGTTTTACAATAGTTTAAGTAAATCGAGTACCAGATCGTGGGGGATATTTATAGGCATGGTTGGAGATAATGTCAACTTCTTCGACGCCAGCGTTCTGCCTGCTTGTCAACGATCCCATTTCGCAATTGTTCAGTAATCACAAGCGGGAGCGCGCAATCAAGCGACAGATGTCTGCGGATGTATTTATTATTTCCGTTCGGGAGCGTTTAGGGAAAACGAACGTACGAGTGACACGTGTGAACCCCGCTTAGTCGCTGAGGAGCGACTAAAAATTGCCACAAGTCACATTTATACACACGAGTAAAATTAAAACGATCCTGTCAAAGGCTATCGTCAGTGAGAACAGCGGGCATAGATGTACATATGCATACGGACATACGCAACCGATCGCTAGTAGATATTTCAGCCGCTTGCTGGCGCTGAAGACCACAGGAGATTAGAGACCTCCCAAACTAGATTCAGCGGGTCCAGCTTATAATTGGCCACCCTGTTCTATCCAACAGAAACATGACATGGAGCTACTAGAGCGGTAGCCAATCAACTTCTAGTTCTTACCGAAAAACTGCATGTTGATTGGCCAACTTCCGCAGTAGTCGACAGTTTTCGCTTTATTCACTGCTTACTACTGGCACGATTGCTGCTTCTGCTTCTTCTGCTTTTTTGCTTTTCTGTCAAGTTGTGAACTCTTCTTCGATTCTTTCGAAGGCGGGAAGGAAGTACTCGTGCACGTGGGAATTTTCGATCTTTTTATAAACTATACTTTTATATTTATAATTATCTATAGCGCGTATATGTATATTTATAACTTTTTTAAATAAAGATTTCAGGTAAAGGAGAAAAAGAATATTGTTAATGATAAATTACGAATTAATTACAAATTAATGTTCATAGAATAAGGGCGAGAGGTTATGCATGTTTTCATCATAATAATGATATTTAATATTTTGTTTTAGATTAAGAATTTTAAAAATGAAAGCGCAGAAGGTACGTCGAAAGAATTCTAAATTGGTTGCCGGGAGGAAAAAAAAGGACTTGAGCAAAGTAACCACAGAAGAATTCTTCAAACAAGATTTTGAAAATGATACAGACAGCGATGGCACCGACGAGCAGAATGAAGGGAAAGGTGCAATTTAAAATATCTTGATTTCTTTTATACTACAAATTGTGTATTCGCCAATCTTTCTTTCTCGTTACTTGTTACTTTTATACAGGTGATGAAAACAGTGAACAGGAAGATAGCGACAGCGGTGGAAGTAACCTGGATCCAGCTGAGCATAAAATGTCCTTAATGAAATTAAAGGATACAGATCCGGAGTTTTACAAGTACTTAAAAGACAACGATAAGAACCTTTTGGAATTTAAAATATCGGATGACGAAGGTGACGATGATTCAACAAATGAATTTGATAACAAACATATCCCTAATGAAAATCTAGAGGTACATGTTCTTTTTTATAGAGTTAATAACTACAAATAGTGAAAACTCAAAGTTCATAATTTAAGTTATAAACTTGTATTTCTCTAATGAATCTCTACGTATGACCAGGTTGCTAGTGACGACAGTGATTTTGAACCGGAGGAAACAGATATCACTGAGGATGGTTCTAAAAACAAAATAACATTGCAATTGCTGAAAACTTGGCAAGAGAAAATACTTACAGACAAGTAAGATACTTTTTATTTTTCATCACGTCACACTTGTCTCATGAAATATCCGACAAGATATTAAGCATGTAATGTAAACTTGTAGATCACTAACTACTATTAAATGCGCCGTGGATGCCTTTCATGCAGCTCTGAACACTGTTGCTGAATCAGGCGATACGACTACAATGCGATACAAGGTAGAAGGAAGTGCAGGTCAGTTTTAGCTTCCACTTAACCTCTGACGAGTTCTTAGATGTTATTTCTTAATCTTATTGACTGGTATTTTCAGTATTTAATGGTGTGGTACAATTATGCATAATGCACTTGCCTGATGCGTTCAAGTCCTTTTTGAAACTTGAATCAGTGTCCAAAGATCTGCATAAATCCAAGAGATTTCCAAAGATGCGAGGCATCTTAAAATTATATTTGGCGGATTTACTTAAGGTCTGTGAATCTTTTGCTTAACTTTCATCATCGTAGTTTAAATATAAACAAATATGTTGCAACGAATGTATTATTCATAGATATTACAAAGCGTCTCGTCGGCTAATATTATCACAGTACTGTTGAAGCATCTTTATCAAATGTTGCCCTACACGCAGTCATTTTCATCCTTGACGAAACCATTACTAAGGATTTTAGTGAAGCTATGGTCAACTGGAGAGGAAAATGTTCGCGTCGTAGCCTTCATAAATATATTTCGCATCGCAACAAATCACGCAGAATCCGTGCTGGAGATGCTGTTGAAGGTGAGATCCATATGCTACGGTGAAAAAAATACTTATCGACAGTCGCATCACTTTAGATTTTTTTTGTTTCTAGACTATGTATGTGAAATATGTCGAGAATGCCAAATTCGTCTCACCCAACACACTAGCGGAGATTAATTTCATGAGGCACTCTTTGGCTGAAATTTATCTGCTTGATCATAATCTTTCTTATAGCCACGCCTTCCTTTACGTCAGACAACTAGCCATCCATTTAAGAAATGCTACAACACTAAAGAAGAAGGTGATCGATCACGATTCTTTCGAAAAATCACGAAGTTCACTGTTAACGTACTTCAATACACCGTATTTCTTTCAGGAAAACTTCCAAGCTGTATACAATTGGCAATATATAAATTCTCTACGCTTTTGGACAGAGTTAATATCCAAGTCAAAGAAATCGATGCTGCGGTCTTTGCTATATCCGCTGGTGCAGGTATTGTATTTGCACGAGCAAGCGTTAGGCAAGAGTAGCTTAATTTAGTTTACTACAAGTGTTTGGTTATTCGTTTTCTAGATAATTACAGGAACGGTAAAAGTCATCCCAACTGCGCAATATTATCCGTTGCGATTCCACTGCGTGCAGATGTTGGTCACAATTTCTAAGGAAACTGGAACATTTATACCAATTTTACCGTTTCTTCTTGAGGTATCGAATATTCTCTTAAACTAAATTTACTCTCGACGAGAGTATGATATATTTATCCTTTTCTTTGTTCAAGATATTAGATTCTTATGATTTTAACAAGAAGCACAAGACCGTATCAATGAAGCCTGTGCCGCTTATGTGTATATTGAGAATGTCAAAATCTCAGCTCGCGGAAAACGGTTTTAAGGACAGCGTCGTCGAAAGCGTGTATCAACTTATATTGGAGAATGCAGCGAACGAAAGTCACACAATATACTTTCCAGATGTATACATACCTTGCATAATACAGGTATGTGGAAGACAGAATCGTATATATTTTATATTTTGTGGGAATATATTTCTCTCTTTGTAAATACTGCAAATTAACAAATTAAATCGTATCTCTAGTTAAAAGCGTTCCTGAAGAAGTGCCGCGTGGCGAGTTATTGTCGAAAGATCAAGCAGCTGTTGGAAAAAATCGAAGAGAATAGGAAGTATATCGAAACCGAGCGTATTAAAGGACCTATTGATTTAAAGAACACGGTGGAGATTGCAAATTGGGAAAACAGGATAAAGACGGACGGCACCGCGATTGCCAAGTTTTACGCCTCGTGGATCAAACTTCACGAGTCGCAGAAACTGAAGTTGCTCACGAAGACCGAGGAGGTGTCGGAATACAAGCTGCCCGTTGTGAAGAAATCGAAGAAACGGCAACACGACGAGCAGTTTGAGGAAGAGAGTGACGATGAGAGCGAATTCGAATTGCGGGTAAAAGGAACGAACGGCGATACCGGGAAAAAACCGACGACCAGTAAGCCGAAAAAATCAAAGAAGAAAATTAAGATATCCAAAAAGAATATCGAAAGTGAAGAATTGCCGAGAGAGAATACGGATATTGTTCAAGATATTAATAGTGACGATTGGAATTGAGAATTGTATCCGTGTAACTACTGTTAAGTTTATAGTGCAAAAATAAATACATGTATTTAATTTTATTTTTACGAAATATAACCCAGCCAAGATTCATGCACATTTTTTTATTCTTAGTAAAATGATCTCTATAGTGTCTTTACACATACCCTCTTAAACATATAAACAACTATTTACAAGAATGGAAATGTGAAAGAGTAGTAGTTAAATATATATTATATTATATACAGCTAAAAATTATATATCACATTGTGTTACATTATTTTGATATAAAGTCTTTCATAGCAGGTGTCAGAGTCATAAGAACTTTTTCCATTTCTTTTCTTTCAGTTTCTGTCCGTAAACTTGCCCATATTTGTTCCAGCTTCTTTTCTTGATGTTTCTAGGAAAAAATATATTGAAATATATGAACACACGTACACACATGTAGTTTCTGAATATTTAATACAGAATAACAGGGAATCTTATTAACATAAAATAAGTAGAAAATATCATGTACGTACTCTGATAAACAGAAAGCAATGTTTCATAGTCGCTCCAACATATAGAATACTTATTTTAACATGTCGTCCACTTATATCGTTTATTAGTGGAATAGCACGCAATAAGAATTTGTGAGGGCCATGTCCTGCCTTGATCATTGCAATTTTAGTGTGTGTGTTACAATATCTTGCTGTAACCGAATTAAATTAATATTCAAGTTATAAAAGAAACATGAAGCATATAGTTAAAAGCAGTAATGAAATTATTGTATTATTGTTACAAGAATTATATTGGAAGCACATTTCTATTATTAACAGAACATTGGATTACATCTAAAGGCAGCTTTTATCGCAGCCACTCCAAAATCACCGAACATTGTTTGCACTTTTTGTTGAATAGCATCCTGTAGAGCTGTGGCTTTCAATGATAATAGTTTATCGTTATTCTTATGCGGTGTTATTTCAAGAATCATGTACCTATAAATGGATATAACTCGTGTATACACAATGATACGCATTGTTAAACGTTAAAATCATTATAAATTATGTGATACCTCGAATTACCTTGTCTTGTAGCGGACCATGTTTTAAGGATACTTTTCGTTCGGCACAAATATTTCAAAATATTTAGAATTTAGCCTTTCCTTCGGTTTATCTTCTTCTTTCTTTTAACCTCTAAAATATACTGTTTGTATGCCGCCTTAGGATTGTGTTGCTGAAAAGCAGCGGCGGCTCTAAGCGAAGAAGTAATGCCAACTAGCGGTGACACAAGGAAACTTGTTTACCGGCTGGTTTGAATTTTGGCTAAATGACCTATTTTATCATAGTGATACGACTCAACGACAAGGCAGACAAACTTTCAACAGTTGTAAAATAAACGTACTTCCATTTATTTTCACATATTATCGCTCAACGGCAGGTCGAAGAGCCTTTTTATTTTCAAATAGAATGGTTCAACGACAAGTTAGAAAGACCTTTATTTTTTAGTATTAACTTTTTCACTAACAGATTAAACACATTTTTTTATTTTTTATAATATCTACTTTTATTTTTTTTTATATTTATACTTTTTAATAATACAACCGAACATCTGACTCGGAGATAAACTTTTATTGATTTTCAAGCATATAACAGATTGCAATACTTATTGCTCGGAAAGGGAGTGAACGGAAAACAATCAAGTACTCGTTTTTCTACAAGATAATAAATACAGGACGAAAATTTAAATTAAACTACTATTTCGGTTTTTTCTCATTACATATACGAGCATTGCTCTGTGCTGACTATAATAAACACCTTTAAATGTTACTACTGACAATCGGATGTTAAGGAATTATGATAAAATTGTAAGAATCAATTGATTAATTTCCATATTTTTAAGTTACGATCGATTTCTTAGTCAATTTCATTCCTAACTTATATTAATCGTATCGGGTCGATCAGGTGAGGTTGGATAGCGTCGAGTATCAAGCGGTATCAAGCGTACGGCTTGGTACGGTGCACGTGTACAAGCTATTATAATGGAACTGGTTTTGTGTCACGACCACGTGGCGTACTTTTTATGCCTACTGTGCGATCGACGTTGCATATTTCTTCTCGCAGTTACACAGTACGTATCCTATACATAGAAACGTTACGACTTAAATGACTTCAAATACAAGTGAATAAACATTGCCCTACTTAAATTTTTAGATGTTACAGGGCGAGTATGTGACGACATCGTGCTAGATAAGGTCACAATTACGAAATGTACAGCGACGTCGTGTCGGATGACCGCACAGTAGACTCGCAAGGTGGAATTTAAAATTTGAGGTAACTCGCGCAAATTTCCACGCATCTCCGAATTATGCGCGAAATGTTGCAAACACAAAACGATACTTTTGCTCGCTGAACACGCATTTTTCAGATAAATTTTATTATTTAGAATAATAAAATTCCAGCCTACCATATGCCGGACGTATCTGTGAGATTGTTTCACTCTTGAGCTTCGTAGCTGTTAATAATTTATAGGAAGTTACTGATGAATTGCACGTTACTTGTGTTCACCGACCTGAGGGATCTGTACGTGTGTTGCTGGATTAAATGAGCTTTAGCTGATAATGTGCTACACTGTTTAGAGTCTTTATTCACACCATATCTCCTTCGCAATTAGTGTTATCTCAGGGTCATGTCATCTTGGAGTATAAAGTCAATGATCAACATGCACTATGGTCGGCTGATAATCGTGATTCATTTCTTACTTATAGCTCGTGCCTAAGCTCTCTATGTGGAAGGCTCAGTTGGCTCTATTTGGCGCGAGGTAGCAGGTGTCAGTTGTAACGCAATTGCGACAATCATGGATTTCTTCGTGGGCGTAGACGTGGGGACAGGAAGTGTTCGAGCAGCTCTAGTCACCTCAAATGGAAAGATCAAGAAAATAGCCACGTGTCCCCTTGAGGTATTCAATCCTGCTCCAAACTTCTATGAGCAATCCTCTGATAACATTTGGAGCGCAGTGTGCCACGTTGTCAAGGTAGGGTGATATCTGTTGATGCGATTGGAGAATAAGAGAGAAATGGACCGAGTTAGAACTAAGTTGTAACTTCGAAGATCTAACTTTATACTTGCTCTTGCAGTCGGTAGTCGCTGATACTTACGCGGAAAATGTTAAGGGAATTGGCTTCGATGCTACTTGCTCGTTGGTGGCTATAGACAAGACGGGCTCACCTGTGACAGTCAGTCTTACAGGTAAGAGCAGGAAACCGACGAATATTCCTCGATCTCTTTTATTTGTCACGTACGAACGAATGTACCCGATTGTCCAGGTCAGGAGAAATCGAACGTCATATTGTGGATGGATCACCGAGCGTACGAGGAAGCCGAGTTCATCAACGCTACAGCTCACGATATATTGCAATACGTAGGCGGCAGAGTCTCCCTCGAGATGCAAACGCCGAAGATGCTGTGGCTCAAGAAGAATTTGCCCGCTTCCTGGAATTCCGCGGCACTTTTGTTCGACCTGCCGGATTTCTTAACGTGGAAAGCCACCGAGTCCGAATCGCGGTACGTTGGTATCGACGCGTGGATCCGTCACCGATGAGAGGAGAGATAATCGGTTATCTCTTATTCCTTATTTTTTATTTTAGATCTTTGTGTTCTTTAGTGTGTAAGTGGAACTACGGTGCTAATCCCAACGGTAAACACGGATGGGACGAAGACTTTTTCGAGCAACTTAACTTGCGTGATCTTAAGAAGGACAATTGGCGGAAAATAGGTAAAGTAACGGACAGTGCAAGTCGCGCGATTTCCTCACGGATGCCGAGTGCATCGATGTCAAAATTTCTCCAATCTAGGTAATGACGTGAGGATGCCGGGCGACGCGATCGAGCCCGGACTGTCGGCGAAAGCTGCGGCCGAATTGGGACTGTTGAAAGACACTCCGGTCGGGACGTCGCTGATCGACGCGCACGCCGGCGGCCTCGGCATGATCGGCTGCTACGTACCGGACATATCTCCGAATTTCTCCAATCGACTCGGTACGGCGAGATACCGTCAATGGAAACTTTCCAAACTGAGATTGGATTATTCTTTTAGATCTAGAGGGATCATTCGGTCTCAGCAGAAACGAAAGAAAACGTTCTGCTGTGAACACGCGGCAGTCATTTCGCGGGGAGAAAATTTCGCGCGCCTCTTACCGTCCTCAATTTTTCAGCTTTGATCTGCGGTACTTCGACGTGCCACATGATAGTGAACGAGAATAAGATATATGTGAGCGGCGTTTGGGGGCCGTACTACAGCGCGATGGTGCCCGGTATGTGGTTGAACGAGGGCGGTCAGAGCGCCACCGGGAAGCTGCTCGACCACGTCATCGACACTCACCCGGCGACGCCGGGAATCCTGAACAGTTTGGCCGGCAACAAGTGAGTCTCGCCGTGACGAAGTCGAAATAGCTGACGACGAGGCGGCTCTTCTCGACGCCGTGTTTCATTTCAGACACATCCAACAACACCTGTCCGAGCTGTTGCACGTGATGGCCGAGCAGAGGAGTCTGCAGAATGTGTCGTACCTGACGAAGGATGTACACGTGTGGCCGGATTTCCACGGTAATCGTTCGCCTCTCGCCGATCCGACTCTGAAAGGAATGGTAATCGACACATTGGCATCGCGTCTTTCCTTAGATGCGAAACCTCGCTCTGTCTATATCGCAGTAAACAGATCTAGCTTTGCGTTTCAGGTGTCCGGATTATCCTTGTCGGTGGATCAGGAGAACTTGGCGTTGTTATACTTAGCGACGGTGCAGGCGTTAACGGTACGTCGCGATTTACTATCGAAACGTTCGATTTACGCACCGATAATCAATCGAGTGGGTTGCGATCTTCCTTATTTCGCGAATGAAAACTGCGATCGATATTAGATACGTTCGAGCTAACCGGACTCCATGCGGACGTCTGGCGTCTTTTCGCGTGATCATTTATTCATAATTATCACAACAGTTTGAACAATTATCGCAACTGTATTCTGTTTCATCGCCACCAAGGCGCAGATCTTGTCACTGATATACGTAAATCTCGACTTTTCGATAGATACGATAGATGATAATGTAAGATATTTATCCCTCGATCGCCGAAATGTCATATTAAAATATCAATTCTCATTACAGTACGGTACAAAGCATATAATAGAAACCATGACGTCTGCCGGACATAATATCGAGACTGTATTAGTCTGCGGTGGGCTCAGTCAGAATCCGTTATTCATCCAAATACAAGCCGACGTGTTGGCATTGCCGGTACTTTGTCCTCTGGAACGGGAATCGGTTTTAGTCGGCTCCGCGATTCTCGGAGCGTGTGCCACGAAACAGTGTTCTATGCACGAGACTATCAAAAGAATGGCAGGAACGGCGAATATAGTGAAGCCGACGAGCGAGTGTTACAAGTAAGTATACGATCGGTAAATGTAACGAGCACGGAATTCCGAAGCATCACCGTAAAGAGGAAACGACGTGTATATATATTTTTTTTACTTTTTTTTCCTTTTTTATTTACAATATAGTGAAATCACATATTTAGGTATTTGTTGACAGAAAGCCGATTACCAAGTAGTTAAAGAAAATTCGGGAATTATATCATTTGCATGCTATATATTTATTATTATATTTATCCGTCATTACTTCAGGTATCATCTTCGGAAATATCACGTGTTCAAGAAAATGGTTCAGGATCAACAGGACTATAGAAGATTAATGAGCGAAGAACTGTAGTCTGCTCTCCCTTTTTATATCCTTTTAGTCTAAATGGACTGAAAATGGTGAAACTGTCCCGAAAGTCTTCCGGAATTCGGAAAGTTTGAAACGTGTGACAAATATTCCGAAAATTTGATAAACTTTCAAAAAGAATCTCCGATGCTTCAATTAGGATACTGATATTAAATGGAGTTTTGATAACGCGATAGATATTAGGCAATTTGATTTTATGATATATGCGAAGCAACGATACCCCGCTGTAAAGTGTCGACACCATGTGTGTTTGTATGACACTATGAATGTTCTTCGTAGTCAATCAATCTTGTGATCTGGAAAAAGACACTGCTTTTATTAGTGCATATTTTTTATGGTCGTTTAAGTCTGGAGCTATGATGTAGAAGTAGAATAGGTAAATATGTCGAATAGCGAATCCACCCTCGATGATCTTGTATAGGCAAACTGAGACAATTCTATTAACAAAGAATCTATATTCTACTTACGTGACTTCTTTTGTTAATAATTTTGTAATTAGTGTGAATAACCTTCTGAAGGTTACTCAGGAGCGTGACCTCTGCAATATCTGTTAAGTTCAAGGTTATTGAGGATGGGCCCTCTATTTGACATAATTACCGTAGAAAGACATATGGGAATTTATATTACCGAGAATATTCCATATAACGATCGAGATAGAGACTATTGTATTATATTCAATTTACATTGTACAAAAATCTTTTATTTACACAAATTATATTTTTTACTATGGAATTATCAGCACAAGTTATTTACACTTTCCAGTCTCAGAAATAATCCAGCCTCATTTTCAACCTGTTATCTTTTTTTAACAATACGATGGTGAAGCGGATTAAAAGATTCTCTCTGTTTGATAAGAATATTAATACCGATAAAATAGGACACTGCTACACGACATCAAGGATATTAGTAAATTGAATTATTACTTGATTGCTTGATGATCTACCTACCTGTTTTAAAATTGTGGCTCTCCGTAAAAGTTATCATTTTCGTCCAGATGGTCAGGAAAAAAGATTATAATTATGACATTGTTATAACAAATGATATCTAATAAAACACTTTGCTTGATCAAGAATTAATATGTACATATAATATCATTCTATTCGTCAAATTATTTGTTTATTTGAAACAATGTACGAAATACTTATATTTGTATTGACAGCCCTGTGGTACAGTTTGAGCAAAAGCATTGTGCTTCACTATTATATCGCATCTTCATTCGTCGTTCATGATGTGGATCAATATCATTACGTGTGTTATCTACTTTCATCCTTACGCACTAGATAAATGCTTCTTCGATCTCGTCATTGAATAAGTACGCTAATTATAACTCTTTCTTATACATACAAAATGTATTTTGCATTGTAGTTCCTTGAATTTACTTGAGATAACCCAGTAAGCAAAAAATCATTAACACAACGTTATTACAATTATATTTTATAACATGTAATGTTTTCAAATATATAGTTCTTAATGTTGCATACAATGTCACTGTTAACAATATTTCACCCAAATATTAAAAATAACATTTCTACACTACGATGTTAATATTTAGGAATATTATATCATCAAGTAATAATTCAAAAACATTAATAAAATCGTTATATCAAAATGTTTATAAAATTCACATAAAATCAATGTTTCGATAGATTGATTTAATGTTTTTTGCTTACTGAGAATTCACTAACTCATTCTTTTCTCTTACGTCTACAGATTAACTCCTTAATTTTCGAATTTGCCTTGTCACTCACGGATCTTCTTAATTTTATCTTGTAAATGTCCACAGATTATACCGTGAAATGTAGGAGTATATGGGGAAACTTATTCGACTGCACAGTACACGAGAAACCAACTAAGAAGTGAACACGTTATTTCTGTCAAAGACGTTGAGATTACGATTTATCGAGACTTGTCAGAGAATAGATTTCTCCTCATTTCAATTCATCCCTACATTTTACGTTACAGCCCGCATAATTCATCTCTTGTTTTAGCTTTTACTTAATTATACCGGAGCCTTCCTAATAGTTCCTATAGCTATATCATGCTATTTCGTAATTATTAGCATATTTTGACTAATAATATTGACTAGATGTTAATGCTTAGGAACTAGTGAATTTTGGTATTGTTTTTCACTCATGTCCTTTCGTCGTTATTATATACATTAGATTATTATATTAATGGATTGTTTTCAAGGAATGGAGTCTTAAATGACTCAAATATCTTTAAGAGGCAACACAATTCGCAGTTATAAAATTCAGAAGGGCTGTCATAAATTTCACACGAGTATTTAGCATCTCTAAACTAAGAAAAATGTCTGAAAGATCAGCAAAATCTTTATTCCTGAAATATTTAATGTTTAATGTCAAAAATAAAAATAAAGACATTCTTTCTAAATTTAACTAAAATAAAAGCCCTCCGATATACAATCGGAAAAATTAAAGAGAGATAAGACATTTAAGAACCTAAGCGTGGATCTTGAAACGCTAAAAAAATTAATCGAAACACTGAACGTTTTGCTTTATTAAATTCCATGTTATTACGTGTTTTAACTTTTTTAGGGTTTTGATATTCATGCTTAGGCTCTTATATGTGTGTCTTATCTCTTTAAAAATTTTTGATTGTATATCAGATTGTATACAGAGAGTGTGTTTACTTCATTCAATTTAAAAAAAAGAAATAATCTCGTGCAAAATGCAACCTCACGCGAAATATTCGCATCCGTCATAATTTATAACGAACTATCACACACGGCGACCAAACGAGACTGAGTCTCCCACAAGATCCGCTATCAACGTTATTTGTCAACAAATAATATCATTACCTTGACAATTTGTAACTTAATCTAATTTAACCTATTGATTAATCCTATCTAATTAAATTTAACTCTTTAATGACCCCCTCTTCCTCTTCCACAATTATGATATACAGGCAGGCGCTCTCTGGCGCGCCCCAACACCACTAACAAAGCTTTATGGAGAAAAAGTTGACACGCGTTCCGTCGAAGCAGAACGACTTAACAAAAAAATATGCAGTTCAACGACGAGCAAAAGTAACCAAAAAAAAAGAAAAAGAAGTAATGTGAACTGAGTGTAATGCGAGTGTAATGTGAATCTTAAAAGCGTGATGTATTTTCGCACTTTTTTTTTTACAAAATCAGTCTCATTATTTATTCGGTGGACGGTATATAATGTAATTCGCTATAACATGAATTACACAACGAATGCGATATTTCGTCGCTTTCACGTGCATTTGTCACGAAACGTAATAAAAGCTTTCATAATCGAAGCTCAACCATCCGTGAAAATTAGATTATATAATTAAGAAGGGTTACTCCCCCTCCCCCTCCCCTTTCCTCTCACGCTCAATCCACCCCTGTGTGATTGTTGCATAACTATTATGATATAATCGCACCCCGCGGTACGTACATTCCGTACGCGTCTTTGAGTACCGAGAGAATTATTACTCACATATTGCATTCGAGTTCTTACGCAAGTAGTGTAAGAACATTTCGGAACGGATTAAAAATACATAACAAGGACGAGAAACGGGTAAATATATCTTAATATATGCATTCGACGCAACTAATTACAAATAATTGTGCTCGTATTTTCTTATTCGGCGAAAGTAACAGTTGTATGTCTAACAAGTTGTACGTCTTGAGTCGAAGAAACTATACGCGAACTATTCGCTTCCGTTTTCCACGCATGTTCACTGTACAATATATACTCATACAATTAACTCGATTAATCTTTCCATTAGAGCGAGTACAAGGATATGTCTCGGATATGTGATTCTCTGATCATCATAATCGTTATAATAATTACTGTAATTACAGCACTGAGAAAAATATCCAATCATATCTGACCGGATAATCCAATTAAAAAGTAACAAACTGATATATCCAATCAAGCGCAGTGTCCGATCAAGTCGTATCTTTATTCGATGAAAATTACAACGGATATGTAAAAGTAACGACTAATTTTCCGATTAGATTTTATCGACAACTGTATCGGTAACTTCATCATCGGATACTTTATCGGATAGTGAAGATATCCGACACTCGATCGGACGATAAAAATAACAATCGGACACATCATTTAGTCGGTTTATCCGATGGAAATTTTTCTCAGTGAGTGAATAGATATGTCGCGGTTTTTCGTCGGGACTTCGGGACGGGATTGACCGTGCGCTATTGATAACTCGGAGAAATAGCGTGTAAACCATCTTTCGTCTTACTTGTACGACAGCACAGTTGTAAATGTAGCCCTTAGAGGGTAATCTCGCTCATTTCGCATCCTAGTCTTACGCGAACTTACGCTCGGGTCTTCGTAAATTACCATTTTACAGTAACAAGCGAAAAGTAACGAGCAATAACCTTAGTAAGCGTTAACGCGTCGTAACGTGCGACAGAATTGGCAGAATTAACAATTAAGAATCACTTTGCACTTTGCCGGCACATCGAGATGATGAAATCCACCCGATCATAAGCAGAATCCGCGCGAACACGCTATGGACGCTAACAGCGCGTGTTTCGATATCCCCGTTGAAAGAAGAAAAATCAGGTAGGAATTCATACAGAAAATCTATATGAAATCCCAGTTTCCTCTGGGGATTCGCACCGAAAAAAAAAACACCCAAATCCTAGAAATCCATGTGAATTTCTTACGAATTTTTACAAACCATGCGGGCTCCTATACGGATTTCCACGCGCCATATGGATTTCTATATGGATTTGTAATATCGATATGTATCAGATCCTACAGCATACTTTATCCGATGGACGTCCTTAGGACACAGGGACGTCCTCCGGACATCTTTAAGACGTCCCTTGGAGGTCTGTATTGTATGGTTACGGATGCACACGAATTCCATTGGATTTCCGTAGGAATCCACGTGGAAATTTCCAACAGGGATCTCGTTAATACGCGCGTATTTCTATCTGACCAGATTACCAGGATATTCAGGCGTAATAGATAGACTGCGAGATATTCGATATATGACGAAAATTGACGTTCTCCGTTTCTGTTTTCCCTACTTACGATATGTATTTATTCCACATGATAACGCGCGGGTTTCAGAACCAGCCGAAATCCATACCCGCCAGTTGATAGAAGCGCTGATTGAACGGCCGATAAAAATCACGCAGACGTTGAACTGCCATGGGATCGATGTAAGGATGACTGCGACCTTTGTTCTTTCCTGAGAGATAACCAAAACGGACCTCGATTAATAATACATCGGGAACATCGGTCAATTCCCCTACTCTACGCTGCATTCTGCGCGAGAATAACTCCAAGCTGTGTCGAGATACGATAATGTCGATTTTCAAGGGTACTTCCAATTCGATCGAGGTGATTAGAAGAATCGGTAGCACCCGGAGAGACGGTGAGTTCGGGAGAATCAATATCTCGGCGACCCGCGCCGGAACGACTGATCTCAAATGATCATTTTAGGGGTCATTCAACAAAAGAAGGAGTCCATCAGCTTGCATGACGATCTCGTTTTAAAACGAGACTTCTTACATCTTATTCTCCGTTCCTTCTATTGTGCTTTAAGCTATAGCTTATTCCTAAAATATCTTATTCCTGATCCTCTGTGTTCCTAACTCCTTGCTCCTCGTACCTTTTATCGTGTCTGAGCCCTTACCGAGACAGTGCGGCGTCGCGCGCTCCTCCGACTTGAGCAAACAAGGGAAGCCTTTAGTGGCGTTGAAGTAGAAGTGTTTCTCGCATATCACCCGCTTCAGGCCGAGGAAGTCCTGCACCCTGGTGATCTCCATTACAGGATCGGCGATCAGACGTTCGCCCGAGACGAACAGGAACTGTGACAGCGGGAAGTACTGCAGCCACCTCTCCAGGTGCCGCACGTAAACCCCGATCTTCAACGGCACCCACGAGGTGTCGACGATCCGCGAGCCGTTCAGGAAAGCGAGGTCCTCGAACCGCGGCATCTTGACGCGCTTGCTCTTCACCTGCGTGTAATCGGATATCGCCCGGGTCACGGGGTCCCGCACCACAACGATCAGCCTCATCCCCGGGTTCATGTGCTTCACCCGCTTCGGCACCTCGCTCGTCACGAAGTACGACGGCGTCTTCTCCATAGTGATCTGGCCGACCATAGTCGGTGGCATTCTACGCCTGATCGGAACGAGAAGAGAATTAGAGTAGGTATTATTAGACGCATTTGACACGCTCACACAGACAGGTCTATATCCCAGTGAGCGAAAAATCATCGATAAAACGTCGTTGCAACGACGTTGCGCGTGACGTGTTCTAACGTACAGTTTTCAACGTTGTTGTCGACATCATCGTTAGCAACTTTGCTGACACACCAATGTTTCTGAAACATTTTCGCAACATTCGACGAAATCGTGTTATCCGGTAGTAATTTTTCAATATCTATTAAATATCAATATCTGTCAAATGGAAACGTTCGAGGAACACGTGCGAAATCAATATTTCCAGGCGTTTAAATGTTTTTTTAATGTTTAACGTTACTTGCTTACTGGGACGTCGCTCAAGGATCATTGAAAATTTATCAATTTCCGTCATTTCATCAAATTTTGCGAGATCTCTGACGAGGTTCTATGATGATGATTATTTTATACGGAGAATAACATTTTATTACACTGAGCTTCTTTTTTCTTTTCGATTTTTTAAATGGTCCGGTGTGTTAACTCAATTTTATAAAATTTGAACAGAATGGGAACTGGTGGTTCCAATCGCGGGGACAACCCACCTGTACCATCGGAAGCCTTTGACATAGTGGTGGTCGAAGAAGTGAACCTCCGAGCCGGCGGCGCGAATAGCAGGGTGCAGTCTGAGAAATTCCAGGAGAGCTCTGGTGCCGCCCTTCTTCACGCCGATTATCAGTGCGGTCGGCAACTGTCTGCTGGGCATCAGCCCCTGTTGCTTCAGGGTCTGGTATTTCGACGTGGACACGTTTCCCTTGAGCGTATCGCTCGAATTCCGCGGCGACGCTGACTGTGACTTCGCGAATCTCGAGACCGCTCCGTCAGACACCTCCTCGAGTTTTGGTTGCTCGAGACTCTGCAGATGCGGAACGTTCCTCGCCGACACGGAGATCCGCGTTCTCTGTAGTGTTATCCTCTGCGACAGCGTGTGCGAATAATCGACGAAGAACATCCACAGGTAGACGGCCAAGACGCAGACGAAGATTAAGACCTTCCAGGACCCTTTGCACGGTTCCATCGTGATTTTACGAGTCGTCGTACTTCGTCGGCCTCCTGGATGCCATTATACCGCAGCATCCGTCTCCTTCATCGGCACCGATACGACCGCACCGGTATTCTTGACGATGATGTCTGAAAGACGTTGCAACGTCTTATACGTCATGGAACGATCATGCAGGACTAGATTGAGCCGCGCTCGCGGACGATGCAACGCGAAAATGCAACTGTTGCACGCGGTGTTTCGGTTCTCATATTTCGATTGCACATCTAGCAAAATATGGAGAAAAGAAATACATCGAATTTATGTAAATGTATGTACAAAATAATTTTATGCGAATATAAGAGAATTTTGTATAAAAGAATTTTATGTAAATATATAGTTAAAGTTATAGCGTAAATATATAAATATTTGAGAAAGAATTCTATTTCCTCTTATATAAATATATTTTTTTACTTTTCACCGGAAAATATTGTTTCTCGAACTCATTAAATCAATTGGACACACGCAGTAGACTGACACATACAGTCGTAAATCGGGAGAATGCAATTGAAAATCGCGATTCGGAGATTCCATCCCACGTGGGCACTCGAGAGAATCGTCCGCGTGCATTTTGACGCCAAACTTAAATTGTGCAATTTTATTATCCTCCGTTCGAGCTGAAATGAAAAAAAAAAAAGAAATGCCAAATGTACTTTACGCACCGTTACTTCCGAAACGACACATAATAAAATGCAGTGAAAATTCGGACATTTTAATTCAACGTCTTAAGGAATTCGCGAACACGAGTCCCAATCCCATCCCCGATCTCCACGTTTCTGAAACTTTTGTTAGGAATCTTCGAAAGGGGATGACGCCTCTCGCGAAAGCCGAGAGCTCCAGGAGGTCTGGTTATCCTGTCGGGCCGGCAGGACAAGACAGGCATTTCGATCCGCGCTTACCCCGAAATAGCGTGCCGCTGTCGGAGACACGTCAACTGTCAGCCGGTGCGCATCCGTCATCGGCCAACGTGCGACTGGCGCAGCCGGTGGTGAGTTGCAGATGCGGACGCACGCTCTTGCGCGCGGAAGTGCACATTTAGCACGTTATCAAACGGTGAGGTCAGAGCCGTAACTAAGCCATCGTCTAACGCAGTCGTCTCCCGCGGTGGACGGCGCACCTGCCAACCGAGAATCACGGGCCGCGTTTGTTGTAAATCACAGGGATGAGGTATTTCTCATTCGCGCGCGAAATTCTTCTCGATCTTCCATTTCAAGGGAGGACAATAAAATGATAAAATGATCACACAAGTGAAACACGAGACCCCGCGTCCACCCTTACACAATTATCTTCCCACAAGTCACGTCCACGTCTTCCTCAGCGCGCTGCTCCCCTCGAGAGCCAGCGATTCTGAAAATTTCCACGGTTTCTCCCTCCGATGTGAACGTCGAGGTCGCTGTCGACCGTCTCTCGTCTCAGTCTCCTCGCCGAGAATAATTCACCGTAGGTGCCGTAATTCTCTAGTTACGGTTCTGGCTTCTCGGGGTGCTCGTAACAATCGATAACGCTCGACCGGCCAGGAGAAGGGAGACCATCGCCCTATATAATGCGGCGCGTAGGCGCGAGATATATTCGCTGATGGACAATCGGGCTAATCAGGGCGCGAATTGGTCTTCACCCGCGCCAATTCACCCCCGTTATCCGCGTTATCGTGTCGTCACGTCTTCAAATAGAAAGAGAAAGAGAAAGGAAAATGGAGAAGGGAAGCTTCATTACAGTCGGGTCGCCACGAGACTGGGAGACGAGCGATGAGCGCAAGATCGACCTATATATGTACATACAACAGAGGTCAGCGGGGGTGAGGTCAGTTACGAATAACAACTTCTCTCCCTTGGGTTATTTTCTCATGTATTAATCGTATAAAATTAACACGGCGCCACACGGATGCGTGATTAATATAAGTACATCGTTTCAAGCGTTTCGACCAGATCCACCGAGGTGCGACGTGTTTCTTTCCATCGATCGGATCGAGCCGCGGGCGATTCTAATCACCTCTCGTCTCGTTACACGCCGCAACAATATTCTAGAAGAATTTCATTCTATTTTTTTGTTCTGAAGTACGCGATCGTAAAATCCTAATTACATTACACAAATATAATATATCATACACTGAGGGGAAAGTATGCAAAAGAAAGTATTTATTCGTTGAGTACTGATGACATATTTACTTGTACTAATATACACGTTTTCACAGTGATAAAAATAAAAAAAAGGAAAAAAAGGAAATATACATTTTTCTTAGATCTGTAGCTTTCCCTGCAAGCAATCGTTTATATTTCTATATTTACGTAAAAAAAATGTAAATTTAAGTAAACGTGTCGTCAGTACAACCACTGAATAAATATTATTTATTCTTAGGTATTTTTCGTCTCAGTGTAACGATCGGCTTTGTCCCTATGATGGGACAAGCCGAATCGACTAAATTCAAATACCTTTCAACAATGAGGATTCTTTTTATTGCTACAAAAAAGGCGCGAAAATTCTTGCCTCTCGTTAGAGCCCTCGATGCTAGACAATCCATACAAGCACCCGGCCCGGCATCTTACGGCAAATTTTACAGCATTTTACAGCAAATCTCCAGCTATTTCTCGCTCTATTGCTTAATTTATAAGGAAAGCCCTCGTTCGCGCGCTTACACATCCGTAAGTCGCGATTCGGCAATAACATTTCGTGAACACTCACGAAGCAACATCACCTTTCGCCCGCCGTTCGCGAGCCGAGGCGGAAGCTGCGACCGTCTCTTTTGCCGAAAGATCATCATTTCCCCAATCGTCCGCGCTAGACGTTCTTTATAAAATTATCACAGTATTGTTCTCGCACTTATGATACTTATGTACAAGTGTTCCCAGACGAAGAGTTCCACTGGAACGCTACGGAGCTGCGGCGCAAGAATGCGCAGACGCGCAAAATCTTCTTCATATAAAGCTACGTTCTTAAATATAACATGAGGATCTTAAATACGAAAAAACCGAAGATCGGTGTGAGAATATAGAGACTCGTGTATCTCCTTTTTTGTCGAGTCGAGCTCACGACGAATGCTCGAATGGAAAAGACACTTTTACAGATGTGCTCCCGAACTGTTTCGACGTATTTTGAACTCCCGCGCTGAAAAATGAATTTCCTTGGATATTCCTGACAATGGACAGGCGGGCATGTTTTGATGGAAGGAAATAGGATTTCTGGTTACGAGAAACAAATTTCGTTCATGAGAATTAGAAATCTTTTTTCCTTCAACCAAAATGCATTTGACTGTCTATTTTCGGGTAGAAAATTCACTTTTCAATGCTTGTACGAATAAGGATTGATTCCTACTATCCGTCTAGACGGCGACAGACAAGCATCCGTCGATCCCGTTAAAACATTCTTCCGTGCTTTTCTGTTACATTGAAAGATAAATTTGGTTGAAACTATCCGATATTAGACAACCAAACGCGTTTTGGTTGAGAATGCACAGTGTAGTATTTCATAGTCGGATCTGATATTTAAGACCGTCTTAAGGTCACCTTCGGATGTTTCGTAGCCAATAAAATGAGCCGTACAACATCCAAAGATAAACTTAGGACGGTTTTAACTACAAAATCCGATTATGAATTCGATCAAAATGTCTAGCTCTCATTCATCAAATTTCCCAGCAAACACCAACTAACAGTAACATAATAGTAATGTTATAATTTTCTCACTCAACAATGTAAATGCAATCTAACGCGTATGTTACGTAACAGCCACATTGTTAAATGGGAAATGATAATATTGGTGTTATGTTACTGTTGGTTGGTGTTTGCTGGGTTGATTCTAACCGGAAATTCTGTTTCTTTCAATCAAAACGCGTCCAGTTGCCGGTAGATCCAACCAAACTCATTTTTCAGTGTAGTAAAGCGACGGATATTATGAATATTCTAAAATACGAAAACATCAAGAAATGTTTCGACGGAGGGTCGACGAACTTCTGTCTGCCGCTGTCTAGAAAATAATGAGAATTAACCTTAAGGGGATCCTAGAGTCGTCTCGTTTCACCGCAAATTTGTTAGTACTATACTCGTTACTGACTTCCACAGAATCAAAAACCCCTCTGCATAATTACAACGCACACGTTAATGCAGGCCAAGACAGTTGGCTTTGTTCGAAAAATGAAAAATAAGAAATCGAAAAAATTAGAAAAAAAATTAACAAATTATAACACGTTTTCTCGTTTTTCATATAAAATCCACTCGTCTACATTAGCGTGCGTGTTGTAATTGTGCAAAAGGACTTTGGATTCTGCGCCAACCAGTAACGAATATAGTGTCAACGAATTTACGGTGAAAACAGAACGACTCCAGAATTCCCTTAACTCGTTCGAGTTAACCCCCTTTCCTTAAAAGTCCCCTTAACTCGTGACTTTATTACTGTATTCCGGAAAACTGCTTCGGAGGAAATTCACCTCGGCGCGTTCCCCGTGTTCGAGATGCATACCGGCGGTGGTATCATACGCCGAGATATATTCGCCCTCCGGTATTCGCGCCGCTTTGTGCAATTAATGGTCTCGGTCGGACGCGAGTCAGTAATCGAGCAGCGCCCGAAATTACTTTACACCGCCTCCGCTAAAGTACACGCACCGGGCTACGTGTCAAAGTCTTCGCTTCTAAACGTACATACTGAATACTGTCGTTATCAGATATTAGATCGGCGATATCATCCGCGCGCGCTATTCATCGACCCGACGGCGTTTGCATTTAGCGCTCCGAGCTGTGCCAATAATTTCCATAAGCTGAACGTTGCGAAGATGCGATGTTCCGAAATGCATATCGAAATATACGGAAGTTTACAGACACACACATACACACACACACACACACACACATACCTCGCCCGCGAGATATCGCCGAGTCGACGACGATATATAAATATGTAACATATATATATATATATATATATATATATATAAGTCGCTTTACAGATCCGCGGCTTTCACGGCGATTTCAAGATAGCGCGTTAATTGCCTCGCAACGTCTCCGTGGTGTCCGAGGTACGGTGTGTGCGCTACCCGAAAATAACCGCAGCTTACCCTCATCGTGCATTCGCCAGCCGACATTCGCCGGAATCGCTTTGATCGTTCAGGCATCTCAACTGAGAGATGATGGGGGCGGATGATAAGGCGGGGCGCGATAACACTCGCGATTTATCCTCCCGCCGACATCCATCTCTGCCACGATCGTGAGCCTCGCAGTCGCAAGTTGTTACTCTCTACGTCATCCTCATGCCGCAACCTCCCCGCGAATACTGCTCCCGTATCTGTCGCGCGTTTGGTAACCAGCTGTTGTGTCCCGATGACAGTCTTGATGAACGGCTCGAAAGTGACCGCGCACGAACACGCGTTTTACCGTCGCGTGCCGCTGCTATTTGCTCTGCTTCTGGTAGCCCCTCTCCTTCAGCAGATCGTCCAACGCTTCCTGCGTGTAATAGACGACGAAGTCCGTGGGCTCGACGCCTTCGAACACGGCGTACACCGACGGCTTCAGGTTGTAGAAGAAGAGCGGCTGGCCCCGGCTGGCGAAGTCCTTCGTCAAGGTCTCGATCACCATGGCGGCCGTGAAGTCCGCCCCGTAGATGTGCGAGCAGTCGATCACCACGGGCGTCGCGACGCTGCCCGCCCGTTGGCTGTACTTGGTCACCAGGTTGCGAACGTAGTCCACGGATGGGAATATCAGGCAGCGATCTGGCGTCAGCATCAAGTACTCGATTCCGTGATGGGTCTGTTCGGAAGAAACGAGCGAGGTTACAACCGCCGTTCGGTCCTCGCGAAATTCGTCGTCGCGAAAAGCCGCTTCCGCAACGTTACATCGCGAATTGATCATTACCGTGAGCTTCTCGACGGATATCTTCGGTCTGGCGGCGTGGTACAGGATGAAGATAATATTTAATCCAACTCCGCAAAGGATACCGATCTCCAGCTGCAGGACCAGACACGCGATGAACGTGCCCAGGCCCGGGATCAGATCTGATTCTGAAACACCGGGGAATAATTCACTCGCGACTCGCTCGACGCCGGCATTTCTCATGTCAGAAGCGCGGCACTTACTCTTTGTCCTCCACATCGGCTTCACCACCTTGACTTCGACCATGAAGATGACCGCGGCTATAATGATCGCCGCTAAAGTGGCGCGCGGAATGAAACTGAAATACGGTGTGAGGAATAGCAGGGCTAAAATTACCAGTACGCCTGAAAACAAGCAAAATTTTCTTACTCATATAGCCAGCATTCATTTAATATACTTCCAATGAATGCCAATATAACCGATATTGGATTAATATATCGCCAATGAATTGAGCCGCTGAGGTTATTATTCGCGTGATTTCTCCTCGCTTTCGAGAGTTTATGCCCGATTCGGGTGATTCGAGTGCAAGCAGGTGTAATAATTAAATTATAAAGGCCGCAGGCACCACACGCAGAAACTCACCGGTGTAGATACCACCGAACGGTGTTCTGACGCCGGAAGCGTTGTTCACCGCACTCCTGCTAAGAGATCCTGTGCCCGGGAAAGCCTGTACGAAGGCGTTTCCAATATTCGACACGCCGATCGCTATCAGTTCCTGCGTCGCGTCCACCGATTTCCCATTAGCTGTAAACCAAAGGTCTCATTTATTAATAGCAATCTTGATCGTGTGATGAATTATCTGTCGACAATGGAAGCTCTGAGCGAAGTTTCAGCTTGTCGTTTTTTTTATACAAAATTACGAAATAACGGAAACGTGGAATCTTTACGAATTTTCATTAACGTAAAACGCGTTCCACTCACCAAAAGCTTTGCAAATAGCGATATCCTCCATCAGGGAGATGAGCGGTAAAACGAGGATGCCGCTGCTCAAATTACTGACCATGTCGATGAACGTGACCGTCGTGTTGTCGTCCTTCGTGTATCCGAAAGGAGGAATCTGTACGCTGGGCATACCTCCCGGTATGTATCCTGCAACGAGCAACTTTTCACCTGGATTCGCAACTTTTCCAAACAAACGTCGAATTTGTATAAACGTCTCTTTATATATCCGATGATTATAAACACGAAAATATTTTATAACTATCGACCGAGCGTAGTAAACATTTACACGCCGGATAATTCACGAACAATTTTGAACAATGTACATTAATACTTTAAAAAGTTTAGAAGACAGAGAAAGAGAGAGAGAGAGAGAGAGTGAGAAGGGGGAAGGAGGGGGAGTAAAGAAGCGTTTATAAATATTTTAGACATTGCTCTAAGTTATAATAATCCGAAAATACACGTGTTCTCTTTCCCCGAGAAAGATATTTCTGTAACAGCAAACTCTCGTACCAATTAGCTTGATCGGCGCTTCGTTTTGAAAGCTGTAGCCCAAACACCCGCAGAGTACTACCAAAAGCGCATTTCGCGAAGTGCTGATCAACCAGAGGATCTTGTTCACAACACGGTGTTTCGTGGTACGGAGCTCCTCCTTTTCCGGTCCGATGGTACACGAGGCCAATAACTACAACCCACATACACACACGTCGCATTACAATTCCACATACATTAAACCCATATCCAAATGATTTGGCAAAATTTGACAAAGTGTTCAATTAGCAATTTCTCTGTGCAATTCTCGGAGCGCCTTATTTTACGCTTTTCACGAACAATTACCCTCAGGATTAGGAGCAGTGCTATGCAGGCTGCTCCTAGAGCGGCGTCCCAAGCCGACGTGTCTTGTATGTTCGCAACGATGTTCTGCCACATCTCGATAAACTGAGAACCCTTGGCCGAGATGCCGAGGATATCTTTAACCTGCGATGTGACAATTATCAGAGCCACCGCCGATGTGAAGCCAGAGCTCACCGGTCCGGATACGAAATCTATCAAAAATCCTGAAACGGAGGAAGAAACACTCTGCATTCCCTCCATCCGTAGCGATCTTTACTTCGCTCGTTACTTCGTGAACGCCACGCGGATGTTGCAAAAGTAGTCGTCGTATGATTGAAGGAATTAGCATTGTACTGACATGCCGACAAATTATTGAAGTATCGACTTACCAAGGCCGAATATACCCATTAACAGTTCCACGATCCCAGCCATGAAGCACAGCAGGATCGCATGCGGCACTGGATCGTCCAAGTGAGACACCGTTTGATAAGTAAGTAACGAAATGATCGCGGTAGGTCCCATGGGTATATCCTTGCAGGACCCGAAAATTACGTAGATGAAGCAACACAAAAAGCTGCCGTATAATCCGTACTGGAACACGAATGAGAAATTTCAGGGCTCGCGCAAGAGTGCGTCTAAAAATTCCGTCGGTCGATACTTTCTAACGAGGAAAATTCGCGATAAAGGTCAACGCTGGGCTTGTCGATTTTCAAAATTACATGTCTCCCGACAGAGTCCTTCGATTAAAATGATGATAAATTAAATTCTCCCCCCTCCCTCTTATAGGAGATTAGTTCACAAATAACTCTCGTCATATTCATTCGCTCCTTTTTGCCAGAAAAATGTAGCCCTCTCGAAGGGATTATCCGCTGAAAGGAAACCTAATCTCGAATTAATTGGAGACTATCTTTTACAGGATGCGTCCACACTGCGACTATTGCGGCGTAAGCCCGGTGTAGTCCCCTTCCCGTAATCCCTCGTGAGTCGTTGAGCGAGCGATAAGAATCTCTTCGCGCACCTGCGGCGGTAAACCAGCGACGCTCGAATACGCCAGCGACTGAGGAATGACGGTGAGGCCCACGGTAATTCCGGCAACCAGATCTCCGAGTGCATCTTGACCGTTGTACCTTGGCAGCCAGCTCAAGATCGGTAACCTCTTGTAAAGGGTTTTCTTCGTGCAGGTGGCCCTGACACGGCGCTTCGTGTATCGCAGCGCCATTCTCAAGAGACCGTCCTTCTGCTTAACCTCGTCATCCCCCGGTTCTTCGATCACTGTTGGCACAGCAAACAATAGTCTCCCATACAATACTGTCATGTGCATATGGCGTCTTACACGTGTAAGTGAGAGGTGTGCAGAAGCGAGATCCCGCATCTTCCTATCCTTGCCGATATTGAGCCAGGTGTCGAGAGAGGAGATTAAGATTGGAAGACACACACACACACGTCGGTTTCATTTCTACACTCCGTGTTACATGCAGATTTATTTTATACACGTATATAATAATACTTTTGTTATTAAAAAAAAATCTTTTCGAGCTTTTAAAATTAAAATTTCACACGGAGAGAAGAGATTACGTGAATTAACGTGACAATAGGAACACGAGCACGTTTTCGTTGAGGAACAACAGAATTTCCGATTCTAGAGTACCGGGATTTGGTTTACAAAAATCATAAATTCTGTCTCCTTCAAGCAATACGCATTTGGTTCATTTATTGTCGTTCATTCGTTCAATCAATGTTTGTTCTCCGTGAATTATACAACCGTCCGGCTCGATGATTCGTTATTTAATATATGCTGTTTGGTTCTCCGTGTTGAAAATGATTTATTAGAAATTTGTGCCGCTTAGAATTCCTAAAACGCTTTCAGACGATTTAACGAACCTACGATTACTTCGAGTCCTCTTGCAAGATAAATAAGAGCGATCCAGAGAACCGTTCCCTCAACAGCTGACCAAACTTCATCGTGACTCGTAACTCCTGTATACTCTCAACACCCAGGGATTCGCACTTGTCACACCGTTCACCGAGCACACTCGGTTAACCCATAAATAATTTCGAGTACGCGAAAACGCGACTCGCTGACAAGGACGACGTACGCGCACATCGTACGGACAGTGTGTTGGATTTATCGCTTCTTGTTGGAAGAAAGACAAGGAAAAAACAACGTATACTTCCAGGCACGTGCCAGGATGTGCGGCTCGCTCCTCCGAAGGACGATTCGTGCACCACATCAAGGAAGGCGAACCAGTTCTTCAGGATAAAATCACTAACGACGTATATGAATTGTAATTCGCGTCGTCTCGTTGCCATCTCGCGTTCGTTACACATCGCCGAATATACATATCTCCGGAATCTTAACGAAAATGTCCTGACGATTCTTTTCCTTAAATTTTCACAGTACACAGGATGTTCGACGTCGAGTGTGTTTGAAGCGCACGATGACGTTTCTCATTGAAAACCGAAGCGATCGATGTTGAAACGACCGTTCGCATTTAAGCCGTGTAAAATAAACCCTTCGATGCTAAAAGCGAGAAATATCTATGCTGCAATTTAGTTCCGGCTTGTTTTATGCTTGGAGTTTAGTCATCGATCGTTCCATTTGATCACCATCGTTTCCAATTTCTCGTCGAGATTCAACGTCAACTGCCGTGGTGGTATTTCGTGTCGAATATGTCGTGCAATTTATCGAGGAAGAGAAAGAAATAGAAAGAGAGAGAGAGAATCGTTATCGTTATTTCAAGCTAAAGAGATCAAGAAAATTTGTAAACCGCGAGCTCGTTTTGTCGACGGCAATTAAATACGAACACACGTTACACGTTAAACAAGACTAACAAAACTGACGAGTCGCGTAGTCCTTATCTTTTCAATTGTCGTAACTACCGAACAAATTAGAATACCCGATAATTCGAACTTCGAGATTTTGTAACACGCGAAGGTCGATTTTCATCAATTTTCGCTTCAGAAATGTAATCGACGTAACATAATAATAATAATAATAATAACAATAACAACAATTATTATTATTATTATTAATTTCCGTTCGCATCGCAGAATCGCTTAATCGCGAATACGATCTGACAGATAATTCGCGTACCGACACTTCTCAATCGTGCTCCCGACGACGTCTCGCAACTTTGTACCTCACAATGACATGATCGAATCACATGAATCGCCAATATAATGAAGATGATTCAGGGCTGTTTATCCGCGAAGAGATCGAGATTGAGCAAGAGGAATTTTCGTATTGTCGTCACGTGTGTGTGTGTGTGTGTGTGTATGTGTGTGTCGCATAGGAAGTGTATGAAATTGCACGCGAGGTTGCCGCCGACTTCATAAAGTTTATAACGTCGTTATTACGTGCTTGCTGTGCCGCTCATAAATTTCGTCGTCGGACACTTATTCCCGCAGTTATTCTCAACGTGCGCTCGCGTGAGCCGATTTATTAATTTCTCGCTTTCTAAATTTATACTTATGTACAATTATATTTATAAATTTATAGAAATCACATTCAATCGACACTTCGGCGGTGGTGCTACGTGGTGCTACGTGCGTAAAGGGAGCGCACGTTTCTTCGCTAACGTGTTGCACTTCTCGTTTCTACAAATTGAAGGCAGGACCTTCCGTTACAGGACGGTTTTATCACCGCGTCGCGTCCGATACTCACATATAAAATCCGAGGAGCCTTGTATCCCTCGATGGGTTTCGTGCGAATCGCGGAAAGACTGGTACATGTCGGTGCCATACGAGTCCACGTTGGTGGTGGATCCGCTCAGGCCGTGGTTCACGTAGCCCTCCATGCTCGGCCTATCGTCCACTGCCGGGCCATTGCCGTTCTTCATCCTGCGAAAACGCAAAATTCGCACATCGGTTTGCCAAATTAACGCGATCCACCGAACGATCAACGTAATAGCCTAATAAATTCACGAGGGGAGGGGGGAGGGAGGGAGGGAGAGCCGTGTAAGTTGCAAATCATCGTGGCGACGTGATCCCGACACTCTGATCGTCGGTTGAGAACGATTGGAAACAATATTCACGAACGGAAGACAACGAGCCTGTTAAACTTGGCCGTGAACCACGGCGTTAATTGCCGTCAAGGCGATGTCGCCGCCGTCGCCGCTGTCACGAGGATATCTTTAACCCGTCCATTAAATAAGGATAATACATCGCAAAAATATTACACCGTGTCTCGCGTTCTCTCGCGTAAATAGACACGATGTGTCCCGCGGCACGTAGACGTCTCGCTCGGGCCCGAGTGAGACCCCCGCCGGTCGCGAACAACTGAGCTGCACCGAAAAGAAAACCGACAAGTAAGACCGGCGATTCTTCTTCTTCGAGAAAAACGTCAAGCCGACCGACGAATCGGACGAATAACACGATTGATACACGGTGAACGTCGGCGATTGCGACTACCGGGGTTGCTTCATTTTCTCACCGACGGAATTCGCCGTTGCGTCAACAACCCGCTTCCTTCAATTAACGAGATATACGAAACCCAGGAGAAACGGTCAATCCTTTCCCCCGACGTAGGGGGACCGTCCCGGTGATACTCCTTCGCGTGAATGCGACGAACGCGCCCGCCGATGATCGCGCCGCTGGTTACGTGAGCGCGGTTATTGCCACGGTTAGTGTCCCTTTATTTTATGTAAGAGCGCGGTTTCGTAAGTTTTACGGATCCTGCAGCCCGGTACCGATCGATATCACTCGCACGGCAGTCGCCACGGGAGCTTTCAAGTGCTCTCGTTTACTTTTTAAGGATAAAACGTCCGCCGTGCACGCGTTTATAGCTCTCCGCTTAAATAGCCCGGCTTATCCTCTAAGAGATAAAAACACATTCGCCATGTGTTTACAGCTTTTACGCTCTAACTTTCATGATCTTGTTGTGCTCTTTGATAGAAGATCCCTAAGATTGCACGTGATCCACGTGACCGAATGGGACAGATTCAGGTGGATCTTCGTTCTAGAAATACCCTCCCGTCTTGCTCCGACCTGCGCCGAAGCTGCACCGCGCACATCACACATGCCTGTAAACTCTGCATTAATCATTGCAATCATGCAGATAACCGGTAGTAAATAAAATCAGCCGATTAATCTTATCTCATAATGGGGGCGAACCTGTTGCTCGGTTCGTCGCACCGGAATCGACGATCCCACCGAATCAACATGCCCCGCTCACAATTTATCTCACTTCGTTTCTGCAATTCAATTGCACGTGTATCGACGTGTGACAATGGCAAAACTAACAGAGTCTTTTATATCGCGACACGAGGAGACGGAATGCGATAGTACATGACAATAGGGAAGATGGTAAAAAGAAGGATAAATAGCGGATAATGAAAAAAAAAGGAGAGATAACAGAGCAAAATGAAGTTTTTCTACCTCGTTTTTAATGAGCGCGCGGAGCGGCTCAATAGTTCTTTACTTCGGCGTCGCTGACTGAACTTTTATGTTTTTAAATGAACAGCCGGCAACATTTTTCGAAAAGGGGGCTACGTGTCGCGGAAATAAATTGAGCCGCGATACAGCCGCTACGTACGTGTACGAAGTATATAATATGCCCGGCGAAAACAGTCACGTGTGTGGAACGTCGATAGAGCTAATATGATTCATCGTAGGAGCCGCAATTACTACAAGTGGATTCTATTGACTGGCGTCATTCCGTCCGATTGTTACGCCGATACCGATGTTTGCTTGCAAAACGTTACGTTTCCGAAAGCGAAAACATGTCGCGAAACGAGAAGAAAAGAGGGACGGAAAAAAAAAAGAGCGAACGTTCGTTTCGCGATTGTGCAACGGCGACACACACGCATTTTCCCGATGTCTCTCTCTCGCGAGATTCACCGAATCGGCGTCTCCTCCTACGCCTATCTCTTTATTACCCGGCGATTCACGGGAACGTGAGGAAATCCGACAACGGTTTGCTCGAATCTCGCAAATATTGAGCAATATGACGAATGTGACGATCGTGTCCGATCCTCTCGGGCACAATTCGCCTGAGATTTGCGAGTCACGTGCGCGCATCCACGTGCGTTTGCCTCGTCGAACGAGAAGCTTTACCCTCGTGCGCTAAATACATATCTAACGAAATAGAACGGCAGCGGGATTTCTTATCTACTGACGCGTTGATTCATGTTCTTCGCGCATAATTCGCGCAAATCGTATCTCGAAGTTTTATAAACGCCGCATGCATAGCTTCTCTTGCATTAATAAGCATTAGCCGAGCGACATGTGAGTTGGCTAATTTACAAGAGAGAAAAGATTATCATAATTGATAAACACGATGCAAAGCATCGCTTATCGCTTTGATAATGACATTCTCTTACGCCAAGGTCTGCGAGATCTAGGCGAAACCGAATAGGTAATTATCGCGCGATATCGAGAAGTTAAATGGAATGTCGGAGTGAATGAAAAAGACCGAGTGGATAATTTTCAGATTGACGCGAATCTGTAGAGAATCGATTGTCGGGGATAAACTTTCCTAATTTCCCTTGACCCAGAGCCGGTTATGAAAAATTGCTGCTTGAATTACGATCCCCGGACCTCCTATCCGCGGAGACATGTGCAAATATTACAGAAAGATAATTGGGGAAGTAGTCGAAGAAATTTACTGCGAACGATCAAAGGAAGATACGTTAGAAGGTGTAACGTATCTTCTCGTTTAATCGCTAGAAATAAATCTCTCTCAACTAAATTTGTAACCAGAATTAGAATCGGCGGCTAGACAGGCGATTAGACGTGTATTAATTATTTCATTTAACAAGATCAAATTTGCTTGATATGCTCGAGTTCTGTTACATGAAATTGCTCGTTATTAACTTCTCGGATCGTATCTGAAAATCGGAAGCGAAAATTTATTTCGAGATATGAAGTTTCTTATACGTTTTTCCGATACTATCTTTATTTTATTTTAATATTTTGTATAATTTTTTTATATAATATATATAATATTATATACAATATATAATATATAATATATATAATTTTTATATAATTTTTATTTTTTATTACGTTTCCTCATCTATTTATGCCTAAAATTGTATTTTGTCAAATGATAGATAAAAACTTAACAATTACTATAGAAATGCATATAAAATTTTTATACTTTCAGTATTTCTTGCAAAATATTTCATCTTTGAGAAGTTAAAAAAAATTAACGATCTTTTATAAGAATTTTTATCCCAGGGTATAGGGTGATGTAACATTTTCATAAAGTGAAAGCGTGAAAATTCCAAATGTTTTCAGATTAGGGAATTTATACTTTTCACGAATTCATACCGGAGCAAAAAGATTCATGATTAACCCCCAGGGAGCCATGAATTTTCTTCTCTGGCGTGAATTCATGAAAAGTGAAAATTTTCCAATTCGAAAATATTTGAAAATTTTCATTTTTCACGTTTCCACCCAAGGGGGAAATTACATGAACGATACCAGGTTCAGGAATGTAACCTCCACACCTTCTGTATGCGCCAGTGTTGCAAATCAGTCTGTACACACGAAACCAGGACAGATTTAAGCAATTCGTCCGAAAACGCGCGAGTTCGAGGATATATCAAAGAGGGAGAGAGAAAGAGTACAAAGGTCCTCGAACAAGCAGACGTCTTAAAAACGGAGGCAAAGAGGCGAAGAGATAAATATATAACAAAAATGCGTTGCACTCACTTGGACTACTTGGTTGACTATCTCTCTCCGAGAAGGGCCCCGGTTCTCGCCTGGTTATCGGGGTATTCGTGTCTCCGACGAGAGTCACGTGACGCCGGAGCGCGTCTCAGCTACCTCGTGAAATTCGAGCCTCGTGTTTAATTCCAAGGATTCCTTTGGTGTTCTCTGCTACCTGGAGACATCACAATCGAGTCGCGGATCGAGTCTCGTCAGAGTGTCAGATGCCGGGGAAGAGTATTTGTCGGGGAAAGGGCAAACATCCGCCACGGGTCTCTCCCGCGAGCAATCTCGTCGGCTTACGCTGCGAGTTCGCTTCGCGGCGTTCGCTAATGCTTCTCCAGCCGACCGGCGATCAACGTTTGAGAAACGTCGCTCGACTAGCGAAACAAGGGGGATAACGTGTATGCGGATAATGCGAACAACGCGGGATTTGGCTGCGTTTTTCACGGAGCAATGAAGAAACTGAGTTCGCGGCGGCACGCGGCTCGTCATTTAAACACGCCGCGTTCACGCCGCGGGCATCCCCTCTCGTCCCCTCTTGTCCTCAGCCTCCCCCGCGGTGACGTCATTGGAGGAACGATCGTCACGTGCCGATCGTCACGTGATGACCTAAGCCTGACTTCAGAGCACGGGCGTCGATTCCCCGGGAATTCGATTCGATCGTCGGACACGCTATCGGTGGAATGCCCGCCACGCCCGCGGCATAATTTAATATATAAACTGTGCCACGTGCTTGCGCTCGTTAGTTGGAACTTTTCGGACGCATCGGCTCATAGCTTTCTACAGATAGTTGTAAGATTACCTCACAGGTAATAATCTGGAATGGTTTCTCAATAACGAGCGCAGTGGATTTCTTGAATTTCTCGAATACCTCAAAACCGGACGGGTTTTCACGTTTCGGTTACATCGAAAGAAAAAGGGCTACATTCAAGTAATATTTGTTTAATCCAAGTAAAATAATTATTTCGATATTCCTTAGCAAATATTTACTTGAATGTGGCATTTTTTCTTCTTTCAGTGTACGACGAGACAAACAGCCGATTCGATCGCCCCGATTGCGCAAGTTGCGATAACGTTCAATTCACCGATGCCCGAATATCGTGTTTGTGATTGCAACTTTTCAATTCAGGTCGATCGGTCACGCGGTAATCCGTGTCTTCTCCGGAGTACTTTCAATTACCGGTTGTTCTCTTTGTCGCTCGCACTTTCCTCGACTCGGCGAACGCTACCAGTTTCTCCACGAACAATAAGATTATCACAATAAGATTATTCGTGATTTCTACTGTACTTCGTCAATACTATCCGAGGGAGTGCATAGGTAATGATTGTGATGAAAATTGCATATACTATCGGGAATACACCAGAGCAAACGACTACTGATATTACTCGATACTTTCTTTCCAAGCATCGAGGTTTCTCAGCACACTCACAGCTTCTGACTTCCAATGTACTTCTGATGTATACAATAAGTAATACATAATAAAAATACACATAATAAAAAATACACAAATGTTATATGTTAAATTTACATATTCACCATGTTAACATATTACTTTTTAACGTATTCACCTTGTTAAAGTAACACGAAAAATTCACTGGACCGATTTTGACGGTAAAATTTTTTACCGTGTAGCGACATCGGAAATTTCTAATCGAGGGCATTACGTACACAACATGACTATTAATCATTTGATGAATCGGTAACGAAAGCTACAGAGCAGCAGTCACGATGTACAAATACTCAAAAATAAAGCGCTTAATTGGAAATGTTCAATATTACCACGTTTAGGGAATGGGATAGCATTGTGGAGTCTTTTGTACGAGGCTGATCCTTGCGAACATGAACTCGAGTACCCGTCCGTCTAGCCGTTTTATAGACCAATAGACGATCGCGCAATGACAATTAGGCCAGATATCGACGCACACCAAACACCGATACGTCAATACGTCGGTGTGCGCGAGGTGTACGCTCGGCAAACAGTCCCGATAAAGCTCGCGTTGATAATGCAAACGGATTGTCAAACGTTCTATAAAACACGGTCGACTACATCCTCCCGCGTCTCTCTTTCTCTCTCGCAGTCCCGCGGGAGATTTCTTAGGCAAACATATTTTGTTATTTGTGCAACGTGCCATTGTCAGCTAATACAGATACGACTCGAAGATATACGAAGTGTCAAAAGCGGTGACGGAGATATAGGAAGCCCCTCGATCATCGTTTCGTCATCGGCTCCAACGGTCTTATACGAAAATCACGGTCTCACGAGTTGATTCACCAATTTGGCTGCGAATAACTCAACTGTTTAATCCTCGCAGCTACCATGTCGGCTTAAAACCGAATTAACTTCTAATTTGTGCGGATCTTTCGCAATTAAGATCATTTTCAATGAGTTACTTCGGATCTTTTATAAGAATTTGTCTATTATATATTTTAATATATTTAGAGAGAGAGAAAGATGGTAATATCGCAAAAAATATGTCTTATAATATTTAGAATTCTTTTTTTAATTTTGTGAATTAACATATCTTTATGTAATATATCGGCTAATTACTCGAGATATTCTAGTAAGTTGGGAAACTCTGATGCCAGTCGACGTGAAATATATTTCCACGGAATGTCGTATCGTTTAAATGATGAATTATCCCATTAGCATATTCAGTATCTCCGATCGGCCGTTCATTACGTAAATATTGATTTTGCGATCGTAAATTTTCGTAAATGGTTAAGTTCGGCGCATTTTAACAATCGTTAAGTATGTGAACGCTTGACACCCGAATGTTAATATACAATTAAAATATCATTTGTAGCTCGCTTGGGATTGGCGGTAGCGAAAATAACATTACCGTCAGAGTTCTCGTCTCTGACGTAGTCGCGCGAGGATTTCGCTGGATGCGAATTCGTATCAGTGACTTTAACTTTGCGCGTTCTTATCATTATTCAAAAGATATCGAAAATCTGCGGATTCGCGAATTTTTCGAGATACTGCGTTTTTCCGGAACGGTTCTTTGTTCCTGACAGGAACCATGTTTGCTGATGATGATCGAAATATATCAAAGTAATTAAATATGATGAAATGTAAGTAAATATTCTTCTACGTGTATAGAGATTAGGGAATTAGTTGACCTCATTAGCTATTTTTCTAATCTCTATACGCATCCGACGAAATTTTCGCGCGACTTACGTCAAAAAACGAGAACTCTGATACGGTTATTTTGTGAGACGTTAAGCCAATCCCAAGTGAGCTGTAAATGATATTTTTAATTGAATATTAACATTCGGATGTCAAACATTCGCGCACTTAACAATTATTAAAATGTGCCAAACTTAACGATGATTTACAATCATAATATAATATTTATCGTAATGAACAGCCGATCGAAAATATTGAATATACTAATAATAATGGAACAATTCATCATTTAAATGACATTCTATAGAAATGATATAAAAATTGGCTGTTCGTATAAAATCATAAATGATGAACGACGGTTCTTAGGTAGCACAAATTTCTAAAACATGTCTTAGAATCATGCAAAAGACGTTTTATATCTTTAGATATCTTTCAGAAAAAGAGAGAGAGAGGTCTTAAGACGTCTTTTAGAAATCTTTATTGTCCCTGGATTATCTGAAAACAATATCTAATCTCGCAATTTTTTAGTTAATTTCATTTTATTGTAATTTTAATTTAATTGAATCTGTGCGCATAAATATCAAAAATTCTAAAAATTTTTAAACTCATCTCGGAAAGTATTTCGGATAATGTTTTCATAGAATATAACGTCACAAAACAAGAAGAACCATTAAAATGCGTTGAGAACCGCGAAGTCGCCTATAACAGGTGCGAGTTAAATTTCATTAAATATTTACTCTGAATTATGCAACATATAAATATTCCATGAAATCTCTCGTGACTGAATTCACGCGGGAAATAAGCGCGCGCCAGCAGTTGACTTTCAAGGTAATCCCGTTGTTTTGCCGCAATTTAATCGGTCACGTGCTTGCTTTCAATTGATAAGTAAATGAGTAGATAAAAACCAACTGAGATAAATCCTTTTTACACTATTTCCTTGCCAACACGACTTCACTATATGAGACGGCTCGTAATTGTTATTGAAAAAAAACATCGTTAATTATCTTTATTCAGATTCTAAGTAACAATACTTATGAAAGAATATATCTCTCTCAAGAGAGAGAGAGAGAGAGAGAGAGGAAGAAGATCATTTTGTTTTCGACGTTAAATATCTTCGCAACTGAGCGGGATATCTTTGTCGAGGTAAGATCCGCGTGAAATTATACGACGAGTAAAGTTTCATTTGTCCAGTCTAGCGAAAGTCCATTAAAGAAACTTTACTCCGTTATCACTTCGTACAGTTCCATTTCTCTCTCGACCCGTCCCCGAAGTGGAATTACGGCTGTAACTAAGCGGGAGCAACTTTTATACCCGACGCACACGTGACATCGTCACTCCTCTAATCTAGAGATTATTAGACCGATTTGAAGCACGTGAATTTAATCGATCACTCTAATTAGGCGATATTTCATGCCGCGTACCCATGTACGTATCCCGTCAGGCACGAGAATATTAACGCGTGTCAAACGAAAGCACGTGCTCCAAATTTCGCCCATAAACAGCGATTAAGAAGGTCGCCTTGGAATCCGGCGCGTCGTGCAAACAATGTAATATATAGCTTTGGAGGAACTGATATTTCGCATAATAGTTGCCAGGGAGAGCCGATGTTGACGAATTAAACAACTACGTTACCCGCAAAGCTCCTTAAACGCTTCCAATGTTCTCAAAGATTTATAAGCCGAGAACTTTGTCGCAGCCCGGCGAGATCGGGGCCTGACGAGATTTTCCCTGTCGCGGATTTGCGAACGCGCTCTCTCGTGTTACATTCAAAACCAGCCCCGCCGCGAGAGATTTTCCACTGTGCTCGCTGCTTCGCTAAACGTTTCCCGTCGCCGGTTATTTGACTCGTGCCTTCTCCCTCGCGACCTACCCACATCATCAGAAAAATACAGAAATATTAGGTTGGTGCATATGAAATGTCGGATTCTTAAGTGATTGTATAAAACTGTATATCTTTCTTCAAAAGCTGTTTATTCAATCAAAGTATGCTCCATTCGCTTCAATACACTTCTCCCAACGAGATTTTAAAGCGTAGATGCCTGTCTTAAAAAAATTTTGGTCTTTAGAATTAATAAACTCTGATATCGAGTTTTTTAGACTGTCTTCATTTTCATGGTGTTTGCCTCTTAAAAACAGCTCTAAATGCTTGAAAAAATGAAAATCGGTCGGCGAGAGATCCGGTGAATATGGTGGATGCTGCAAAACTTCATATTCCAGTTCGTTCAGTTTCGCAATTGTTTTGTGCGATGTGTGCGGCCGAGCGTTGTCATGGAGCAGTAGCGGGCCATGCCGATTCAC